TTTTTGGCAAGTGGGAAAACTGAGGCATGGAGGTCCTACAGGGAGTCTGGGGTGGCTGCTGGTTCCTTGCTTGTGTTGCAGCTGTCAGGATGTTCTTGTCATGGCTATCTCAGGCTGTGACTCCTACCCCAAGGTCTGCGTGCCACCAGGATACGTCTGGGTTGGCATGGCTCGTCTAGGGCAGTTGTGTCTCACTGGTGGGCAGTTGCAGAGCTGTCTACCATGCTCCATGCTCTGACGTGATCATTCAGCAGATCCCTTTGCAAAAAACGAGTCAGTGGATGCACCTGCTCAAGGTTTTGGATGTTCAGGCTCGTGAGAGGGATGCACAGGAGATACTGCAGAGATGGTGGTGCACAGAGAGAAGAGACTTTTGGTTTCCTCCAGCTGCTGAAGAACTTGGGGGAAAGTTGGGGTCAAGAGGCTGTAGGGTTGATACAGGATGAGCTGGACGATTAAGGGCTGCTCATGTTGTGCTTTCTTCTCCTCCTCGTAGCCTGCGGGCCGCAGCTTGCCAATTCCCCCACTGTGATAGTGATGGTTGGCCTCCCAGCCCGTGGGAAGACCTACATCTCCAAGAAGCTGACTCGCTACCTCAACTGGATCGGTGTCCCGACGAAAGGTGAGGCTTTCATTGACTGCCTGGGAAAAGCACGGGGTCTGGGTCCTTGGGAGATGCTAAAGGAGCTTAGTCCCTTGGGGAGTGGAAGGTGGTGGGGGACCTTTCCAAGATCCGATGGGCCAAATATCAATGTCCTCCCATTGCTTCTGCTGCAGCTCAGGTTCTCCTTCACTTTGAAGACCAAGGGATGTCCCTGAGCCTTTTTCTCTAAGGATGTCACTTCTTGGCCCACGGCTAGAAAGCGTTATCTGCAGGAGCTGCACAGTGGAGTCGAGCTGATGCTTGCTCCTGTTTTTGATGGTTTTTTGTCTTTCCCACACAGTTTTCAACGTGGGAGAGTATCGCCGTGAGGCAGTGAAGCATTACAGCTCCTATGACTTCTTCCGCCCCGACAATGAGGAGGCCATGAAAGTCAGGAGGTAAGTGTGGGCGCCATGTCTGTGCTCATACCCAGGTCCCAAACAGATGGTGAAGCCCATGGCCAGCAGCTGGGTTACCTAGCTTGTCTGGGGGGTGATGGACAGAAAAGCTGGACTCTCGGTTGAGATCTCCGTGCCTGCCTAAGGAGAACCTAACTTGAAGCTGTCAGGGCTTGGTAGCTTCAGGGTCACCAACACATCCTCCAATAGTGGTACTCTGAATTCATGATGTAAGGTATGAGGTCTGCCATGAGGTTTGGCCTTTCCGTCTTGGTCTACCATGAAGACCAGTACTCATGGCTCTTGTATTTGTGGCAGGCTCACGATCTCTCCTAAGTGTCCCTGGGAGAAGGGGGGAGGTGGCAAAGAGGAGCTGCAGAACCTGCCCTCCTTTGTGGGCATCTGTGAGCATCTCAGAGGACATCAGGACCACGTGTCTCTCACCTCTTTTGCAGGCAGTGTGCCCTGGCTGCCTTGAGGGATGTCAAGCTGTACCTGACGGAGGAGGCTGGCCAGATTGCGGTAAGTTCAGAGATGTGCTCCACAGGGTTTGCCAGCAGTCCTGGTCCTGAAGGTGCTGTGGCCTGTGCAGTTCACTCTGCAGTTCCTTCTCCGAAGGACGCAGAGGGAAAGCAGGCAGTCTTGGTGCTAATCAGAATCTTTGCTTTTAAAGGTTTTTGATGCCACCAATACCACGCGGGAGAGGAGAGGGATGATCCTCAACTTTGCCAAAGAAAATGGGTTCAAGGTTGGTACCACTGGGCTACTGCCTATATTGCACAGTCCACATTAATGTATTGTTGCCCTTTTTTTTTTTTTTTTTTTTTTTTTTTTTTTACTAACATGTTGTCCTCATGATGCTCCTGCATGAGGCGGATTTCACTGATGGGTTTGATCAAAAATATGAAACTCTTTCCTTGTTCCCAATCCTGAGCCCTGGAGAAGGAAAGGATGGGAGTGGAGGAGAGGGAGAGCTCTCTGGTTAAGGAGGGAAGAGGTTGGGTTGAGCAAGGAGCTGGTTGAATGCTACAGATCTTATTGCTGACTTTCAGGTGACCTTTGTTTTGTTTCGCAGGTGTTCTTCATTGAATCTGTCTGCAATGATCCCACAGTAGTTGCCACCAATGTTATGGTAAGCATGGAAATGTCTTGCTTTTTTTTTTTCCCCTTGGGGAGAATTTTTCACCTGTGCCCAGCTGCTTTCTTATCAGAATGTCTTGACAGAATTGGTTGAGGATTAGGAGGTTTTTATCTTTATGATGTATTTGACCTGGGATGAGAAAGGGCTTGTTATCGCCCAGGGCCACCTGGAAGCAATGAAAATAAAAGTTATTGTAACCTTTCCCCACTTTCCTTCCATGTTCTCTGAGTTTCTATTGACCTATAACTTGATACAAAGGGGAGGAATGTGTTCAGGATGCTTTGGTGACCCCCTCAGTCTCACTTTTTGGAAGTGATGGGTGTGGTTAGGAGTTTAAATCCCACAAGAGAGCAGTCAGACGTGGTGTCTTCAGCCACATACAGCTTCCCAAAATCTGTTGAGAAGAGTAGCAGCTCAGCTTAGAGGCTTCTTGCCAATAACTGAAGTCTTGGTTGGGAGAGCAGTATAAAACGTTGCTTCCTGCCTCCTTTGGGAGCTGCTGGATCTTTGATTTCCCACCAGCAGAAGAGCTCCTTTGCCTGTTGGGCTTGGCTAGGGCAGGTAGATGTTAATTGGTCTTCCTTAACATGAATGAAAGTGTCCTTTCCTCCACTGGGCTCTGCTCCAACCTTATCTCCAGCTGTACATCTGAACTTTTATGGTGTCTGGGAATGTGTAGCAGGGTACGAAAAGTCTGTGAAAAGGGTATTGTTGGGTTTCGTTCTGCCCTCAGGACAGGCTCCACAAAGGGTGCTTGGGTAGTGACTAGGGCCTGGCTTTTGCTCCTGCTGGGACCTGGTGTCCTATGGCCAGTGATCAGTTTTTGGAAGGCTGCACACAGCCTTTTCCATGATTCTAATAAAATGCTCAGTTTGCTCCATCTCTTTTTTTTTTCTTTTTTTTTTTTCTCCATCTTTTTTTTGTTTGTTTGTTTTTTGGTTTTTGGTTTTTGTTTTTTTTGCAACACTCTTAAGATGGATTTTTTGGGGTGGATTTAATCCCTTTCTTTGGAAAATAATGCTTGAAGGGGGAGAGAATGAGCTACTAGCTGAGCGTAGGTTTTTGCTCCATGGGGCGCTGCAGATGAATGATGCTCTTAGTGCTGGGATCAGTGTGGAAAATGTGCTGTGGCCCTGGGGCGCTGCCGCGTGTATCACTCGATTGTGTTATCCTGTTGGTCTCAGGGTTGCCTGTGAAGTTACTACTGTGTAACGCTGCTGCTCAAACCCAAATTTTCAAGAAAAATAGCCTGTTAGAGTAGTTCAAGCAGAACTTAGTCCATGAGCGTTCTGGATACTCCCATTGCCCATTTCTCGCCTCTTTCGGCCCAGTAGCTCGTAGCAAATAATGCATAGGAAGGAGCTGAATGTTGCTCAACAGTCATGCAATGGTTGATACCAGATTTTCTCACCTTGTCCTTAGCTTTAAGTCTCAGTCACTTCCTTTCTGTCCTATGATAAGTGATGACTATAAAGTGGCTCAGCTGATAGCTGGATCTCGACAGGACTTTGACATTTGAGATTAGCATGGTCTGGCTTGGAAAGCTTCCTAACCTCTCCTTGCTTTCTCTCCTGCCTCAGGAAGTAAAATTGTCCAGCCCTGATTACCGGGACTGTAATTCGACCGATGCCATGGAGGACTTCATGAAGAGGATCAATTGTTACCAAGCCAGCTACCAGCCTCTTGACCCTGATGACTATGACCGGTAAGAAACTTCCGCTGACTTCTGAACTGAATTGAATGCCTTTCTTCTCCCAGGAGAGGAGTAATGAATGAAGTACGGGGCTGTACTTTACTCTGTGTTCAAATACATGACTGTGCTAGAATAACGTATGGCCAAGCCTCACCGTAAATTCAGGTTTCTTCCTTGAAAGTGCTGATTTTCCCCAGCCCTGTGCCAGGAACTGAAACGTTCCCAGGCTCTTCTGGGCTCAGATACACTGGTTTTGTGGGTTTAAGTACAAAGGCTTTGAAAAAGCAGTTCAGTTTGAGCATTTCTGAGATGCTTTTGTCAGCTAAAGGAAGGGACTGCTTGAACAGGCTCAAACCACAAGGTTGAGCAAGGCCTTGGTTTCCACTTAGTTGTGTGCCCTGGAAAGACCTTTGCTGTCCTGCATGACCATGCAGGCACCTCCCAGCCTTTCCACTGCTCACAAATACGTCAGTGTGCCCTGTGCGGATAATCCTGGTCCTGCTGAGCCCTGTCCTGGAGAGGAACATGCTCCCTGCTAGTCTTTTTTAATCCTCTTTACTGTTGCAAGGAGGAATGGCGATTACACTGCTGTTACTTAGCTTTCCATGAATTGCCATTACCTGTCAGGTTCCTGTTGAAAATAGCCTGCAGGAAATCCTTTTAGCCGGGTGATTATGTTGACTGAGATACCTCACAAGGCTATTTTTTTGAGGACGATGTTTCTTTCTTTCTGCTTTTCCCACTGGCAACCCCCTCAATCCTTGCTGTGCTTTCCCTAGGGAGCTTTCTCTCATCAAAGTCATCGATGTTGGCCGGCGGTTCCTGGTCAACAGGGTTCAGGATCATATCCAGAGCAGGATCGTTTACTACCTGATGAACATCCATGTCCAGCCCCGCACCATTTATCTTTGTCGGCACGGCGAAAGCGAGTTTAACCTCAAGGGGAAGATTGGCGGTGACTCGGGCCTTTCCAACAGGGGCAAGAAGGTAAGAAGAGAATACTCCACCATGGCTTCTAGGAGTGATTTTGGCTGTCGTAGATGCCACTGGGCTAAGTGTATGTTTGATGACAGCTGGAGTGCTCAGAGGATCCATCTGTAGAGCTGGTTAAATTTTTGGCTTGGGCATGATTTTAGAACAAGACTTTCTAGCCATCGATGTTGCATGTGGTTAGGGGATAGCAGAGACTGGGCTGCAGAAATCTCTAGGTGAGAAGGACATGAGTATCTTCACCAAGTTGTTTCAGACCTTGCACAGGCAGGACAGGATGTAGAAGGACTGCTGCCACCCTTCAATAGGGATAGCCAACTCCGAGGGTGCTTTGAGATTGCTCACTACTTGATTCTTCAAAGAGATGGTTAAATGCAGTGCTTCAGGGAGTGTTACTAGCTGTTTTGCCTTGCCAGACTGTTTTGAAGTTCAAATGGAGTAATTTGAGATATGACTATTAGGAAGGACTAATGACAAACAAGCAGTGCTGTGGTTAAGGGTGGCCAGGAATCTTCCACAGCAGAGCCCAGGTTGTGGTGCTATTCCTTGGAGTTGATGTTGTTCCTTGATGACATTAGGTTGCCACTTCCCCTCTGCTTTCTCTCTGTTCTTCTACCCCTCATAGCTTTTGGGGGTCAATACATGTGTGGCTGCTCTTCACCCCAGAGCAGAAGGCTAATACAACTACCTATGGACAGCAAAAGAGGTCCTGGAGAATGCAACATTTGCTGGGAAGCAGGGAATAAGGCTTGCTGGGAAGTTGGGGATCAGGAATCGCCACTTCCCCTCTGCTTTCTCTCTGTTCTTCTACCCCTCATAGCTTTTGGGGGTCAATACATGTGTGGCTGCTCTTCACCCCAGAGCAGAAGGCTAATACAACTACCTATGGACAGCAAAAGAGGTCCTGGAGAATGCAACGTTTGCTGGAAAGCAGGGAATAAGGCCTTCTGGGAAGCTGGGGATCAGGAATTGACCTGGTTTTTCTTATGTCCTACAGTTTGCAGTGGCACTGAACAAATTTGTTGAGGAGCAGAACCTGAAGGACCTCAAAGTCTGGACCAGCCAACTAAAGAGGACAATCCAAACGGCAGAAGCTCTCCAACTGCCCTACGAGCAGTGGAAGGCGCTCAATGAAATAGATGCTGTAAGTATCTTTAAATGCAGTAAAAACAGCTTCCTGGTTGCTGATTGGTAAAGAGAGTGATAGCACTGGCCTTTTCATTTTTGCCAAATCTCACCTTTTATGGGGAAATTTTCCTTCCGTGGGAAAGGATAGTACTTCTACGTTCCTCACAACTTGGCTTCTCATCTTAGCTCTGCCTCTTGCTGAGGATTCAAGTTGTTGTCTTGAATGAGCAGATTAAAATTATTTTTGCTTGGAACTGCTTTGTAGTTGACCACTCAGAGGGTTATAGGTGATTGCTTTGGAGAAGGTTTGACTTGAGCATGTCCAGTAACCTCATGGATGTCCTATTCTGGCAGGGTGTGTGTGAAGAAATGACGTATGAAGATATCAGGGAGCAGCATCCAGAGGAATTTGCTTTACGGGATCAGGATAAATATTACTACCGTTATCCTTCTGGGGAGGTAGGTCTGCAAGGAGACTCTCAGAGATGTGGCTCTTGCTTTAAATGTGGCCTTCTTGTCCTCATGCTGTCCTCTACGCTCAGAGCAGAGGAGCAGCAAGTGCTCCAAGTAACTAGAATCAAGATGGTTCAGGGCTCCCATTTACCTTTTGCATTCAGCTCTTGTGAAATTGTGGTGTGTGAAGATCTCATTAAGGAACATATCACTCAAAAAAGTGTCCCACTGACTTGATAGAAAATTAGCTGGATGGGCTTCCTTCTCCTCTCTCCAGAAGTAGCAGCTAGATTCTAGAGTAGCCTGAAAATGAGGCTTTGTTGAACTTTGATTGTTTTTAGCAATAATTATATTGGTTTAGTTTAGTGAAGGGCATGAAATCAGTAGATGGACCAAGACAAGGACTGTTGTTTTATTGAGGTGCTCCTGTTCTTGATTCTATGCCATATGTCCCTTCCCTTCTTCTCCGGTTTAGTTTAGTGAAGGGCATGAAATCAGTCTCCCTTCCCTTCTTCTGTGTTTAGTGAAGGGCATGAAATCAGTAGATGGACCAAGACAAGGACTGTTGTTTTATTGAGGTGCTCCTGTTCTTGATTCTATGCCATATGTCCCTTCCCTTCTTCTCCCTCAGTCCTACCAAGATCTGGTGCAGCGCCTAGAGCCAGTCATCATGGAGCTGGAGAGACAAGAGAACGTCCTTGTGATCTGTCACCAGGCTGTCATGCGCTGTCTCCTGGCATACTTCCTAGACAAGAGTGCAGGTGAGCTCCTTGTCCCTGGGAAAGGGGATTGATCTTGCTGGAGGAGGGATGTCAGAGCTCTGAGGAGATGAGAGAGATGTGTTCAGGTCCGTGCAGGGCCTGGAGGAGGCATCTCTTCAGAGCTCTGAGGAGATGAGAGAGATGTGTTCAGGTCCGTGCAGGGCCTGGAGGATGCATCTCTTTGGTGTGGGATGGCCTTAGCTGTTGATGAAGATGTCTAAGCCTGCTGGAGAGGGGATGGGATAACCCTCCTGCTTTGCTTTCTTTGCAGATGAAATGCCCTACTTGAAATGTCCCCTTCACACGGTATTGAAGCTGACCCCCGTGGCCTATGGTAAGTTGGGCCTGCCTACTAAATATGCCAAGGGGTTCAGCTTTTATCTCCTGAATCCAAGCTGTCTCTGGGAGAAGAGCGGGGTTCTGGGGTGGAGCACTTCATAGCATCCTGCTGGGTTTGCTGATGGTCTTTCTGTCTCCTTGTGCTCCCTTCTGCAGGCTGCCGGGTGGAGTCCATCTCATTGAACATTGAAGCTGTCAACACGCACAGGGAACGGCCAGAGGTAAGTGTTACTTTTCCTCAGAGCCATCCCTTGGTGTCCCCCTCCTTTCCCCTACAGTCATCCGGCAGCGAGGATGCCCAGAGTGGGCATGGGGAGGTTGCTCAGCTAGATGCTCAGAGTGCTGCTGGAGCATCAGATGGGTTCTTGCTCTGCAAAGACGTGGCCGGTTGAGGGTTTTTCAAGGGGAAAAAGACTGTTGCATGTGTCTGCTTCCCACTGCGTTTGCACAGATTAAAGCAGGCCCAGGGAAAGCTCCTCCCTGGTCTTTAACTTTCACCTGTGCTGTCATCTGCTCATCTGAGCAGGCAACACAGCTGTGGATGGAGAAGGTGACTTCTCCCAGGTCTCCTAACTGGCTGGCAGAGCCTCAGGCTCAATGCCTTGCCTAACAACTCCTGCCCTTGTGGTTTTTTTCCTGGTGTGCCCACAGCTCTTTGTGGCTACCAGAGTGCCGTTCTGTAGGATGGGAGGTGGTGGCACTGGGCTGGGGATGCTGTGGGGAGGAGACCCCTCACATTGATGAAAATCTCTGTAAGATCAGGTCTGTCTGCCCTATGTTCCATCAGAGCAGGAAGACACCAGCTTGGTGTCAGGCCTGGGTGGCCACCCAAGGGGGGACCATGGCAGTGCCCATGTCCCAGCTGCTGGGGCCTTTCCAACTTGCGCTTAGTGGTGGTGGAACCTGTCTGGATGTTGGACGGTCAGAACTGTCCCCTTTTGGCCCACATCTCCTTTTCTTTGCTTCCCGACCTCAGCAGGTGGCAGCATCTGAGCCACCTCTCCCTCCCCACAGCCCTAGAGGGGGAAGCCAGTTCTTCCCCCTGCTGTGGGGGCTATTGATGCCCTCCACCACCACCCTTGCTGGGGATGGCAGGAGAGATGTGGGCTGCAGGTTAGGGTGGAGCAAGACATGTGTGAAACGCTTGGGTCCCTCTGCTCAGCTGCACGGGTGCTGCCCCTCCATCCCACCTCGCTTGAGTTGGAGCTTGGCACGGTGATGACCCTCCCCGGCTGCTCTGCCTCCACTTCCCAAATCTTCCCCAAATCAGCCTGGGCTGGCTCATCTTCCCTCTTCTTGCTTTCACACCTCTCCCTGGGTCGGAGGGACCGGCTTCGAGGAGGAGACTGATGGGGCACCTCTTTCTGTCGTCCGAAGTCATTGGCTTTTGATTGCTGCTAGGTTTCGTTTAACAATCTATGTTTACTTTTTTTTGTGAGCAGAGGCTCAGGTGAGGAGAAAGTCTTGACTTGTTTCTGAGCGCAGGGACTTTTTGGCGCTTTTTTTTTTCCTCCTCTTTTTGGGAAATCACATTGCGTTCTTGAACACTTTGCTTTAGGGGTTTTTTTTGGTGTCCAGAGCCTTTCAATTTATCCTTTGCACGTCAACAGCGATTGTGGGGAAAAGCAGAGGCCGCTTTAAGAAAACACCCAAAACAACCTGCTTCTTTTTTTCCTTTATAACTGTCGCCTTCTTCCCTTTATTTTATTTTATTTTAATTTTTTTTATTTACTTTTTTTTTTCCTTTGTCTCACTCTAATTTAGGAAGCAAAGAAGGGACCTAACCCGCTCATGAGACGTAATAGCGTTACCCCTCTAGCAAGCCCAGAGCCCACCAAAAAACCTCGCATCAACAGCTTTGAGGAGCATGTGGCTGTTTCTTCCGCCCTGCCAGGCTGTGTTCCTCAGGAAGTGCCCACGCAGATGCCGGGACAAGTTAGTTGAACTCTCTTTTTTTTCTTTTTCTTTTTTTTTTTTCTGTTGTTATTCTTGTTGTTTTATTGTTTGTTGTCCTCCTGTCGCTCCTGAAGCTGGGGAACGGCTTGCACTTGTCGCAACCTGTGCTGCTGTCTCTGAGATGCATCTTTCTCCCACGGCTGCTGTCCCTTCCTGCCTTGGGTTGGTTTTGGGAGCACCCAGCGAAGGGTTGCTGTTGATCTTCTCTCGGGTTTGGAGGGTTTACAACACACTCCAGAGCTCTATTAGTGTTTAATTTAATGCCTTCACCATCTGGAATCATGGTGTCAAACCCTTGGGGAGCCACGTCTTTAGAGCGGGCTGGACCCAAGGTCTTGTGCCTTCCACCTGGATGTGCTCAGCTCCAGTGTAGACCTGGGCATTGCAATAAAGCAAATATTCTTGTGCTTCCCTTGAGAAGGAGCTGAAAGGACCCTTCTTTGACTGGAGGGTTATCCTCCTTCCTGGAGAGATAGGCAAAATGGACCAAAAATGAGTAGAAACCTCTTGGCACAGTGAACCTGGTTGCCTTCTGCAGCCCTGGGTGAAACCCCTTGTGTAGCTGCTGTGATGCTCATGTGTCCTTTCCTCCTTCACCCACCCATGAAGGGATGTAGAAAGAGAGACCTTGCTGCACGCTTCTCCAGGAATGGAACCCCCTCTCCCTGTGCCCTTTAAGGAGATGGGGTGATACCAGAGAAGCAGCATAGATGTATAGAAACCCCTTCGCCATGCTGCCCTTCCCATCAGCTGCCTGTTGGATCTTGCTGTGTTGCCTAGCCCCTCTTTGCATCGTCTGTGTTGTCTGGTGTCCTCTCACCTTTCCTTGGCCAGGTCCTGGGCAGGTTAGGAAGGATGGTGTGCTCCTCCAACCGCTCTGCTTGGTGGCCGCTTCGCATGAGCCTTCCAACCCCACAAAGCACTGAGTGTGGCAACTCAGTCTGTCTCTTGGCTTTCGGGGCTCTGCTTGGGCTGGTCAAGTCTTGCAACAAATCCTCTACCAGCTTTGGGTTTGGAAGCTCTCGCTGTTTGGGTGCCCCTCGCTGCTGTTTGGTGTCCTCTGCCCAGTCTCGCACGGTGTTACTGACACCTCTTTCCATTCTCTCTGTCTCTCTGCAGCCTTTACTAGGGAAGGCATGCCTGTAAGTATCTTCTTGCCTCTTATTCCCCCCTCCTGCCCTCTTTCCATGTCTCTTGCCATCCCACCGGTTGTTTTGTGGTTGCTGTGAAACTTGTCCAGGGCGTGGACTCGTTGGAGTTAATATTTCTGTGTGTGCGTGTGGGATTTGGATGCGTCTTAGGAATGGTAAAGAGGAGACTATGGATGCTGCTTTGTCCAACCCCTCAATATCCTGGCTTGATTCAATGCCCCAATTTTATTGGGAAATGATCAATTTATCACTTGCCCTCTGTCAATGTTGTATAAATTGCCTGTCTCCTCCTTGGACAGTTGTGGGATGGGAGATGCTGTTGGGTTTTCCTGGAGTTCTCCTCTGTGATAGCCCATTGGACTGTAGGTGATAGGCACAGGTGATCTGTCCTCCCCCAGGGCTCCGAGTTGTGTCTATGAAAGAAAGCAGGGTGCCTTGAGCATTTAATGCACTAATTATGAATAATCAAGGCTTTGACAGTTTGGCTTAGTGCTGTTAGATCCTTGTGTAATAGGGACAGGACAGTTTCTGGATAAATTTGAAGCCTTTAGGCTTAATTCATGCTCCATCACTGAGTTGAGAGCAGTAGTAATGGAGCTGTGCTCAAATGTCTTCTCAAAGACCAGGGAGACTTTGGGGCTGAGCTGAGGCTGGGTTAGTGCCTAGGGGTCTTTTTGTCCTCTGTAGATGAGTTTGAATTGGCCTATGAGCATCCCTGTCCTTGTTCATTTTGTGGGCTGAAGGTGGAGGAGTCTGCTATAATGTGGCCAGGCTGGAACTCAACCCTGCTTGCACGCAACAGCTGGTGAACCTCACGTTTCTTCCCCTTTTAGAGTAAATGTTTTTGAGAAAAGGGAAGTTAAGAAAGTTATGCTTGGCTTTGCTGGGGGACGTGTTGGGGAAGATCTCACGCTCATGCTCAACGTAGAGGTTGAGTTGCTCAGCATGGCCTGAATGTCTGTGCTCCTTCCCTTGCTGCTCATGGGCACAAAAGCCCCTGAAGAAGCGCTTGGTCTTCTTGAATTGCTTTGAAAGAACTATTGTTTTTTTGTCCACCCCTCCATTCACCTTTTCCCCATCCACGTTGTAATAAAAAGCACTGCATGCTTCAGTGCTGTCTGGGATACCGCAAACACACTCTGATGTTGAGTGTGGGAGATATCTGCTTTTGCTAGATGTGAGGAGCTCTGCTAGAGCAGACAGTGATGGTTACCCATCCCAGGCATAGGCTGGCAGCAGCAAGTTTGCAATCTCCAGCTGCTGGAAGCCTGCCTTCACCTACTAGTGTGGGGCTTCTGAGGGAGCCATGAAGACACCCTAAAACAAAGGCTTGGTGCCACTCACACTGCTGTTAACTCTTTGAGAGGCTGTTGTCTTGTACACGTGTGCGTCTGGTCCCTCACCATGTCCCATCACAACCTGTATGGGGTTAGGGAAGGTGGAAGGTACCTCCTTCCCAATTTGCACCATGGGACTTAGTTGGTAGTGGGTGTTTTGATGCATCAGTCGTCCCTGTTGGGGTCTTGACCTCCATCCAGGAGGACCAGGGGACACCTGAAGAGGCTGGGGACATGATTGTGTACCTCAGAATCCTCCTGGCTGTGGGATCGAGCTGGTTTGGGGTCATGGGACTACCTGGTGTGATGATTTCTTTTCCTTTTGCTTGGTTTGTGATCCAAAATGCACTTTTTAACAACGACCTGACCCCCTCCCTTCTTCTCCCCTTCACTTTTCATGCTTAAAGACGACCCTTTTGTCACTTTCTCAAAGTTTTCTCTTTACTAATATTTCCAAGGTAAATGGCTGTGGTGCATGTGGCTTCTCCTAACCTCCTCCTGTTTCCTTAGATAACAGAGAGAACAGCTCAGCCTGCTCTGCCTCGTAGCCTGGCTGGGATTCCTGGTGCTTGTAAGAGGCAGTTTTGGTAGTAAGAGCGAAAATTAAAAAAGGAAAAAAAAATGTTGAGAAACCTTCCTAGCTGTTTCCTAGTCCTTTTTCCCCCACCCCGTTTTGTGTAGTTTTGTGAACTGGGAAATGTCCTTGTTGTGAACATCTCCCCTTGGGTTTCTCCTCTAGCGGATCCTGTCCTCCAGCCAGCACCATTGGGGCTGGTCCTGCTTGTGTTTAGCTGGTTGTCTCTGGTTTTGTGGTCCTCACCACACACTGGTGGGTGCCTGTTGTTGCCACCCCACACCAGGGCTGTGTCTGAAGCAGCTCCAGGACCCATGAAACATCATGGGGCGTCATTGGGGGAGTGGGTCCTCCTGATGTATGGCTGGTGGTGGCTGGTGTCCATGCTGGCTCCTTGCCATGGCTGATGGGAACTGCCACTTCTTGGCAGTAGCAAGGATGAACAAGTGGTGGCTGCCTCCTTGGGAGGCAAGGGGAGGACACTGCCAACCCTCAAGGGGAGCAAGAGAGAGATGTTTAATTGGCCTCCTTGAATGAACACTGTGGGTCCCCTGTCACTTTTCCTTGGATGGACCAAAGAGCAGATTCAGAAGTGCAGACTGGGTGGGGTGGGAAGGTTGCCTTGTTTTGAGGGATATGCCAAGTTCCAAACCTCTAGTTAAAGCCAGGTGATGCCTGAGGGGAAGGATGTGGGTAGCAAGTCAGCATATCCTTCCCCAACCTCTCTCCTTGGGTGGACAGTGTCCTCTCCTCCGTGGATGCTTCCGTAGTGATCCGTGCCGTGGCTTTCTGTTACTCCCTCCGTCCCCTTCTCGATGTGCATGTAGAAGATGCTACCAGGATGGAGTCCCAGCACCACCCCCAACCATTGGTCCTTCCCCTCTCATTGCAGAACATGAACAACTCGCAGAAGCCGTCGTGACTCCGTTGGCGCTGTCGCGAGGCCACCACCAGCGACGCCACCGGCGACGCCAGCTTCTCATCCCATCGCCATTTCCGAAGCTTGCTTAGTAAAACCGGTCTCCTCCGTCTGCGGCGAGGTCGACCCTCGGCTGTTTCTACCCGCGCCCGTTCATCTGCAAACCGCTCTGCTGAAGTGGGGGGGAGAGATGTAGGAGATGCAGGAGAGCGGAGGAGAGGAGCCGAGCTCCCCTGGGGCCACCACCACCACCACCAGATCTTTAGGCTGCAGCCATTTGCTCTCCTCTCCGGCGTCCTGTTAGATCGTAGCAAGCTGTAAAGTGCTTCTAGCGCACAGGAGTTTAATTTTCCTCTGTAAGCGGTTTTGATCTCTTTTTTTTTCTTTTTTTTGTTTTTTTTTTGTATAGACGATTGGTACCCATCCATCTCTGGGTGGGATGTATATATGTGGATGGTGCGGGATTAGCAGAGAAATAGGGGGAGAAGCGGGGGGGGGGGGGGGGAAAAGGCTACCGTGAAAGCAAATTTTTTATCCCAAACCTCTGCGCCTTGTGGCTTTGCTTTTCTGAGACATTCTTTATATATGAAGGTTTTTTTTTTTTTTATTATTGTTATTATTAATTAATTACTTCTCAAGCAAGCCCCTAACGTGCTGTGCTGCAGTCCTTTTCTCACGCTACAGCCTGTTGCCCACGCACAGCCCAGCTCACGAGCACCAGGAAGGGCAGTTGTGTGAAGTCCTTCACAGCAAGAACTGCTGGGTTTGACCAAAAAAAAAAAACCAAACCCCAAACATGCTTTTTTTCATTATTTTTTAATTTTTCCAATCAATACACCTTAAAGGGGTTTGCAGAGAATACAGATCTGCTTCTAAAACTGGTCGCAAGCTGCTGCCTGTAATGTAGGAGAAGCCACGCTCGGGTGATGCTTTCATCTCAAGGAGCACCCATGGATGCTCTGAGTTCAGGCGTGTGTTGATTTTTTGGGAAGACTGAGCTCTGATTGAGGTGCTGTGCTGGTACTTCATCTCCTCTTTCCCTCTGCCTTGGAGGAAAGAGGAGATTTTTTTGGGGGAGGTTTGAATCCCTGCAGGTGGACAGGCTGAGCTTAGAGGAGTTCTGCAGACACGCAGGTCTCATGGAGGTGGCCAGAGGTCTGGTCGGGATGCAGAAGTCCCTGTGTGGCTGCAAAAAGCCACAAAAAGGGACAATTTTGTCTGTGTTCTCTTTTTAATTATTTTATTTAATATATATACATGCACACACACGTGTGTGTGTATATGTGTATACCTAGAAACCGCTTAGTTTTTGCACTTTATTTGTGGCAGAAGCATAACTCTTTTATTTTTTATTTTCAAGTCGTGCCCCTTAACAGGGGAAGCCTGAATACAGGCAGCTTTTTTATTTTATTTTATTTTGCATGCTGGAAAGTTGGGACTACAAAAAAAAAAATAGTAGTCCCAGCATTCGAGGTGTGTGTGTGGGTGTGTGTGAGGGGAAAACGGGGCGAGGTCCTGACTTGAACTCCATCAGCCAGCTCCCAGTGGTATGATACGTGAGATCCCTCCTCAGGAGCCTGCCCCTGGGCTGTGAGGCAGGGGTTAAAAATGGCAATTAACCACTATTGCTTTGGGGAAAAGTCTGTGGATTTTGAATTTTCACACCTTTTTTTTTTTTTTTAGGGTTTTGGGTTGGTTTTGTTTATTTTATTTTTTTTCTCTTCTCACTCCGACGTGCAGCGTCTTCTCCATTCCTGTCTCATGATTTTTATCTGGAGGCAGGAGATGAAGGTAGCCAAGCCCACCTGCACTGGTGGACTGGAGATGGCCAAACCCCTTGGTTTCATCCTTCCCATCCTACCCCCTGGGTAGGAAACAACATCCCAACATATGGGAGCAGAGAGGTTTGGGGAGAAATGGTGAATTTTTTTTTTTTTGAATTTTTTTTTTTCATTTGTGTGGGTTTTTCTGGGGGGAAATTGGTCTGTTTTTCCTTTGGGAAAAGGCGAACCACAGTGCCTAGTGCTTCAGCCCCGTGCAGCCAAAGCGTGTGCTCGGAGCAGCACCGACAGTGGAAGGTGCTTTTGTGTATTATATTTCTGTACAGATGAAACAAAGAACACTTCCCCCCTCTCCCCACCTTTTTTTTTTTTTTTTTATTAATTGCTGCATTAAAAGCAGACTTCTCCCTTTGTGCGTGGTTGACATCTGCCCTTTGGGTTTCTTTGACTTTGAGAGGGGGAAAAAAAAACCAAAAACCAAACCCGAATGTTTTGGGAGGGCGAGTCACTCGTCTTTTTCAGCCTCCTTCCTGGGGAGTTGTTTTATCTTTCTCCTCCTGCTACGAAAAGATAAGCCGGCAAATGCGAACGTGACGTCTGCCTGCCCCGTGATCAATCCCCTACACATGTAATTCTGCAAATGTTTTGGCGTGTATTTGTGTGTGTGTATATACTTATATATATATAAAAAATATATATATATAAAAGAAAAATCAAACCGCAAAAAAAAAAAAAAACCTTAATGACCCTAAACTTTCTTCCTTTGGGAATAATAGAAGTCTTGGTAGGTCTACAAAATGCTGAAATTTGAACCTGGCATTTTTTCCAGCCAGGGGGAAAATTGGTCTGTGAGCAGCAGCGAGGTCCTCTCATGCTGGAGGGGTTGGTGGTAGGTGGTGTCAGCCACGTGCCACCACGATGCCCCAGAACCTCGTTGCCCATCGTTTCTGGTTAACGGAGCCAAGGACGGGGTGGTGATGCTGTAGCCAAGGTGGGTGGGGAGAGGGGTCTTGTCTAACCACACCAATGATTTCTTTCCTTGCTTCTTTTTTTTTTTTTCCCCTGTTTATTTTTTTTTTCCCCTTTGTGATACTTGAATTTATTTTTTTATTTTTTTGATAGCAAAGCGCTCTTTATTTATTTAATGTATACTGCAAAGCTTGGAGAGAAGGGTAGTTACTTGGGATTCTTTTTTTTTTTTTTTTTGGATTTGTGGTATGTTAACTGTTCTGTATATACATCTGGAATAATTGCCTGATATAAAGCTGTGCCAGCTTAAAAAGAGGGTATGCCTTTCAGAAATTTGTATATTTTGCAGTTGCTGGACCAATAAAATACCTTGTTGAAATACAGACCTGACCTAGTTCTTCTTTGCGTTAGGATTTATGCTGCCAGGCCTGTCTTGTGTGCAGCTTGGTGGCCCCAAGGGGACACCCCGTGCCGTGCAGTCCTGCCTCACACATATGGTCCTGTGCCTCGTAAATCCCTCCTGACCCTGCAGTGAGTTTTCTGAGGAACATCTCTGAGAGAAACCATCGGGATCCCATGGTGTGATCCCTTTTTTTCTGACCACGCTACAGTGATTTTCTCCCAAGTCATAGGTGATAGGACTAGAGGAAACAGCCTCAAGTTGCACCAGGGGAGGTTCAGGTTGGATATTAGGAAATATTTTTACACTGAAAGGGTTATCAAGCATTGGAATGGGCTGCCTGGGGGAAGTGGTTGAGGCATCATCCCTGGAGATTTTCAAAAGATGGGTTGACATGGTGCTGGGGGACATGGTTTAGTGATGGTTTTTGTCAGAGTTAGTTCATGGTTGGACTAGATGATCTTGAAGGTCCCTTCCAACCTAGATGATTCTATGATTCTTTTATGATTTTGAAGAGTTCATCCATGGAGTTGTGGGTGCTACTCCTCCAACCGAGTGTTGACACCTACTTAGGTCAAGCGAATACCCCTCAAGCTCTACCTGCTACATCACTCTTGACTACGAAGGTGATGCACTGGAGTATTATGCCTAGGTCTTCATCTAGGCTGCAGGTTAGGCGGGACTAGGCAGTTAAAACAAAATACTTGCTGAAAATGATGCTAGATGAAGCTGGAGGGCTGGGCGAGAGCTGTCCTCTGAGATCTTGGCTGTCTTTGCCCTGAAGGCAGGAGTACAGCCGATGCCACCTGCAAGCGAAGTTGTAAAATTCCCTGTGAAGTTTCTTTATTCTTTGTGGGTTTTTTTTTTTGGTTGGTTGTTTTTTGTTTTTTTTTTCATGGCTCAAAAGGAAAAGAGGGTGAAGAGGCAGCAAAAGGTATCATTTGGATGTGATGCTCCAGAGCACATCTTGGGTGGATGACCCCCGTGTGGTTGAAGGCTCATCCTCCTTCAGCAGTTGTATCTCTGGAAGCTTGTTAGGAGCAAAAGGGGTGGGGAAAAAGCATGGACTGCTGCTATTTGAGCTCAGCTCTGTGGTTAGCTATTGTCAGCTGGTGCGCAACCCTTGCTCATCTCTGGGCTTTCAGAGCAGGTTGAGCCTTGCCTTGGGCTGGGACTTGCTGTGATGCAGCTGGGCTGTGCAGGCACCTGCCTTCTCCTGATTGCTCTGTGCAATGGGACTCCTCACCAGGGAGAGAGGGGCTCTGATTTTTAAACTTGTTTGAGGCATAGAATCACAGAATGACATGGGGTTGGCAAGGACCTCTGGCAATCACCTAGTCCAACACCCCTGCTAAAGCAGGTCCTCCTAGAGCACCAGGCATCTGAAATAACTTTGCAGACTTGTGAGTCTCTAGGGTGATGCTCATCCCTGCAAGCACCCAAGTGGTCAGAGAGGGCCCATGTTCTCTCCAGGAAAGCTAAAACCCACAAGACTATTTTTTTTTCCTTTTTTTAATGTCTAGCAACCTGGCCATCTCCTTGACCCAAGCAGAGACGAAACGCTCCTGCCTGATTTTAGGTCAGGGAGCGTGGCCTTGCAGGGTGTCCTGGAAGGATGCTGGGGCTTTGATAACACCACCCGCTGCGGTGGGGCTGAGATTATGTGTAGCCACAACAGTGGTGCTGCTCCCCTGCCTTCCCCGGGTGGGCAGGGGCTGTTTGGTAGCTGTGATAA